CGGCGTGACGCGGCGTCAAGGCCGCGTCATACGCAGAACCTCAGGCATCACAGGCGGGGGCGTGGGAGCACGGCGAGGGGGAGTTACGCTCGGCGTCGTGCTGTCGATGGGCGCAAACGGCTGGCCTCGGGAAGTGGGAGGGCTTGTGCGAAAGCCGCATTGCAGATGGAGGCGGGGACGCAGCGTACGTTGTCCGGACACAGGAGGGGATGCTCGTTGGGCAGCCAGTATACCCTTATTGGAATTTTGTGTAGAACATAAATCATTAATATACACTCAGTTTTGCGCTGAAAATATGGATTTTTGAACTCAGATGATGGGATCAAAGTGGGGGAAAGAGCAAGTGGGCTTCCCTCATCTCCAGACAATGCAGCCTTCGCTCTTGGCCTTCTAACGCTACCGCATGCGACGTTGATGGCGCATTGACAGCTCACGAAAGCGGACCTCGCGCCCGCTCACAAAGATTGCCAGGGCCCCTTTTCGGTGTGCCTCACCGGCCCGGACACGCTCGAGGAGCCCGCAGGCATGCGCATGTTGGAAGCACTCCTCGATTTCTTTGTGCTGCCAAAGCTCACAGAGTTGGCCATTTCCAAATTGAGCTTCTCCGGCTGTGATGCGCCGTTCTTCTGGCCGCATGCCGCGGGACTTGCGTTCCTGCAGCGGACGACGTGGGGTTCGGTGCGAAGTCTGGATCTTACGGGAGTTCATATCACCTCGCGACAGTTGCTCGAAGTTCTGCCCGTTCTGCCGAGATTATCGCGCCTGAAGATCAACGACTGGGTGGCTTCGGCCTGGGCCACCATACATTGGCGATTCACCGCATCTGGCGCTTCTTTTGGCGCTACATCACCGCATAATCCCCGCACTTGGCGCTGCATTACGACATCTTGGCGCACCCATCAGATTGATGTCACGCCGGAATTTCTTGACTCTGAACCACCATCTTCAAATGCGAGTCGTGCCTCACACCACTGGAAACGCTGGCATCCTCACAACGCTACATTGACTGTTAATCAAGGGGGCTCAATGCAAGTCTGGCCACAGCTCGTAACTGCGCTGACCTAGCACCGGCGCTCCTCCGAGTCCCACATGCAGAAACACTGCTCCGGAGGTGTACCAATGGCTAGGGCTGACTCCCGCCGCCCTACGCCCATCACAATGTCTGCCATGTCTTTGTCTCGAAAAGCTCCCTCTTGGCCTGTAGGCTGTTTCCGCTCGAATTCGACTATGGCTTGGTTCTGTGTGCTAGTAATCGGCCGGGGTCGCTGCGGTCAATCCAATTTGCATACATAACACCGACAGTACTGCGTTTCAAGCGCATTTAAGCCCGTATTCCGGTGATCCTGCCGACCTATTTGGCAACACCACAATCCCTCGAGCAAGTTCGCGAAGCCAGGAACGATAACCTTGACCCCTGGCGTTTGCAACTAACAAGACAGACCTGTCTTCAAGTTTATCCCCGCCACCCAAACATCGACCACAAGACAGCGCAAGTGAGCAAGGCGATTGCAGTCACTGCACTCGGTTTGTTTGCCCGCCCTAAACATCGAGTGCCAGTGTTCTCGCCGATGTGCCGTATATTAACGCGATGGAACTACCCTGCTCGCTACGTTGACGTCTCAGGCTTCAACCGCCGACCAACATACACACGCGGCGCGCCGGCGACAGCCCACATGATCGTCGGGAGGTCATCTTGAGCTTTGGTCTGGGCAACCGTGACTGTCTCAAGATGTGGACGTTTAGTGCCTTCAGCGTGTCAGAAATGGCGCGGAGGGTCTTGTCGCTCGGACAACGCGAACCGCTGTGTCTCCGGGTGCTTATACTGGCCCCAGCGGAATTTTCTCTGGTGTCGGCGCACAGTTCAATCGACGGATTGCACAATTATCTGTTGCATCAATGGGAAACGGGCTCTAACATCTCACCTATGTCCGTACATCTTCTGTCGGCGCTGGCGCGGCGCTGCTGCTTCATCGTCCCGACTCCGAGAGCGCTCCTCCCGCCGGGACATGACGTTCTATGGCGCGGCCGGCAACCTGTTGGTGGGTGGTGACCAGCGCCTGCGTGGCCCTCGGGTCGCGCTCCTGCAAGCCTCAGAAGGTGCGGCGTATTCCCCCATACTCCTACCGTCCTCAAACTCAACTTCCCTCGTTTGTGCAGGTCGCCCGCAAGTTTTCCCCACGACAGTGTCTTGCTCTGTGACCCACACCACAACATTCGCTAGCGTTCAGACAACTGTAAATCCAGTGCGCTCTCATACTTGTTTGTGTCGCACCAGTCTTCATCATGATGGCAGAATAGTGTTCGCTCTTAGGCAGCACTTGCGCGGACTAGGATGTCAGGAGATGTTAGTGTATGAGAGTTTCCATGTACTAGTAAAATATCGGACATGAACGTGGTAGAATTTCCTCGGGCTCACTAGTGCTCTACATATGCACAAATTGGACTTCGAGTCGGCATTCGAATTGCGTGTTCAATGCAAGGTTTGGCGCTTCAGTGACACTGCATTGGCGCTTGTGTCACGCTGCTTTGGCGTCTCATGTCACAACATTGGCGCATCCTGTCACGGTATCGAACGCTGCATGTCACACTTTTGGCGCTGCAGCGTGACAAAACACTGAGTGTAAAGATTTAAGTATCGGGGAAAATGCCTAAATGGATGCCATATAAGATTATCTATAAGGTCCACAATCAAATTAGGTAGAATATTGGATGAACAAAGCTATAAACCTATTCTAAATCAATTTGTAATACAGAGTATTGACGATATTTGGAAAGTTGGTACAATATATTTCATTATAAAAGAGACATATTGCCTCTATATAGTGAGGACTGCCATGCTATAGTGACTCTCATGTGTTTTTACAGCTATCAAACCTTCTGGGGGCCAATCCGCGCTGTATCAATCTGAGTTGATGGACACATGAATATGTACGTCACACCTCTGGCGCTTCCGATGTCACAGCTTGGCGCCGCAAGCGTGACATTTTGGCGCATGGCGCAGTGAAGCGCCAATTTCTGGTGGCCCCTTCGGCCTACGTAAAGCGCCGCGAAGCGTCATGAGGTGCCTGCGGTGTTCAACGACGAGCTCCTTGTTGAAACGACGAGCTCCTTGTTGAAATGAGCTCAGCCTTTGTTGTGCCAGATTTGCAGACGCTCATCGTCTCGTCGAAGGGGGATTTCAGCTCTCGTGCGTTTTTGGCATTTTTGCAGGGAAGGGTTTCGATGAAGGAAAAGCCGTTTGAAATGACGATGGTGTGGCTCGCTGGCTATGGGTCGCCGTTAGATGCTGAGTTCCGACAAGCAACTGGGAGGTGGGAGAATGCGCAGGCTTTGAAATGGGCTGATAGAGTGGCGGGTGAGGAAGAACCAATAATAACAAAAGTAGGCTAAGCAGAGACATCGCCCGAATTAGACAGAATGCATAGTCAATGAAAGAACGGAGAAGGCCTCGTCGCTGGTCGAAGATGAGAATCAAAAGACAGTGGCCGAAAAAGGAAATGACCTTCGTTTCTTCATCCTCCATGTCGTCTTGCTGCCCAACACTATACTCGAGCACCAAGCCCTTCTCTAACCTCGACGACAAGACCACACGGCATGGAACAGGTTGATTCGGGGTCCAAATGGGATGACGTGGCAGGTCAAGAATCAGAGAATCTGAGTCAATCGGTGGTCGGATGCGAAAGGGGTCGGATGCGAAAGGTGGATAGTGGAAGACAAAGCTGTGGCGAAAGCTACTTTGGACACCTCGGTGTGCTTTTGGACAACCTGGATGGTGCGTTTAGGCCTCTCAGACCTGCCTAATACTAATCTCAATCATAGTCGTTGCCATAGCCCTCCCTGATATCGAGCGCCTCTATCGCCTTCAACACGCTCTGTCAAGGCGAATTATTGTATACACCCCGACTACAGCAGTACGGGGACGCGTATAACGCCGACTGGAGTATGCATGGCCGAGTTTCCTTGGGTTATTCGAGGAGCACCGCAAGGAGGGTCGGCACATTTGGTTTAACATGCCCCATGTTCTTCGAGCCAATATTCGGCACTCGAAGATGTTATATGACGGGGGTCTGGGTCGGCTGGCCCGGGCTGGGTGCGTTCTTCTTGCACATTTCTTTCCTTTTTCCTCATCTCTTGTCACTCTTCAGACCGGCGCCAATTCTGCCTTGTCTGAACCTCCTTTCACGCCCAAATCACATATGGATTCCCAGAATAACCTCCTTCATCCGCTCTGGTCACACGAAGAACACGGCAGGGAGTGGCCCGTGTTCTTGGTACCCGCTAGATCATCAACACCACCCTGCGCGTCTCCTCCCCCGCAAAAGTCTTTCGCCCTCAACAAATCACTTCCCCGGCATCCATCGACACCCCTTCATTGTCCCCCGCCATTTTCGAGCGATTCTATGGCTCCGTTCCTACAACAACTCTGTCCTTCCTCCTCCCCCATCACCCCCATTTTACAACTTCTTCTCAAGCCTGTCAACAGCCCGGAGAGTTCAGACACGAAACGAAGACGCATATTTGGCCCTATTCATATGACTTCCGCCCAAGAGCGAGGCTGAATATGCGGTCGACGAGCTTTTTGACATTTCATCGACATCTCGCGGCTTGCTCTCACGGAGCTTCAACCTCGCTGATTTGCTCGTATTGCGGCCATTATGCCGTCTAAATCCGCCACGGGAAGCGCCAAGGAAGGGCTCTATCGAGTTCAAAAATTATGGCGGTCAAAGTGGGGAAGTATTAATTTTACATACACATTGTAAAAAATTGAGTTTTCCGCAACATTTTGAAGAAAAAACCATTTTCCGCAACTTTATTTTCTAAACTTGACAAAAGTTGCGGATCACAGCTGTTCCCAAAATCCGCGAAATATTTTCGACGTGCATAATTTCCGCAACTTTTTTTTGCACAACTTTTTTTTTGCACAACATTATCTTCAATACCAGTCATTCCCACTACTTATCTGCTTCAAGTTCTCGCAGCCAAATATTATTCCATGTATGTTAAGCACTAAGGTAAATCCTATAGCCACTGCGGCTCATCTCCTCGGCGGCGGACGCGATCCGAGACAACGCCAGTGACCGGCCGGTCGCTTTTCGGCCACTTGCAGACGGCACCGCAATGTAGATGGCTTGCGCGTGCTGCAGCGCCCGGGACTCCCCACATCGACCGCTGAGGCGGGCAAGGTGGGCTGGATACGGATGGTGCAAGCGGTAGGTTGACGGCTGACCCATATACGTCAGGTTTACCAGCGACATCAGGCGATAAACTTACCAAACTTGGACGCGCTCGCGGATTTGATGAAGTCTTGTTGCATTGTGCAGCTGTTCCAGTCGTCGTCTGTTGAGCACGGTAAAACTGAATACCGCAAGGGCCGCCCGGCTTATACATCGGAGGTCGAGGCAGTGCGGGGTAGAACGAGGATGTCTCAAAAACAAGGCAGACGGGTTGTGTGCCGGTGTGTCTGTGCGGAAACCCAGAGAAGACGCTGGTGTAACGTGCAGCGAGACTACTGATATAGACAGAGTGGCCAGTTGATGGCCGTGAGCCCGCAGGAGAGGCAGAGAGGTAGTCAGAATCAACACGCTCCGAAGAGCCCGAGACTGCGAACGCGGTCAGCTTCGAGGCCACGGACGCCAGCACCATGCATACTCGATATCTCCCCGAATGCCAGTGCTTCGACGACGGTCGTGTCGCATGGGCATCCCAGATCTGCAGACTCGGATCTGCAAGTTTTGGGACTAGCACCGCTGGCCGTTGGCGCTGCGCGGACCAGGCTCTGGTTTTGGCGACCAGCGGCGTCCCGGCCCGTCTGCAGCGCGTTCGTCGTGAAAGCGCGCGCCCACATCACCCGTGGCTGGACACCTTTGGAAAATGTCCTGGATACAACCAGGGGGTAACGTTTTCACGGAACCCGGATACAACCAGGCGACGGTTGTATCCACTTGGCGTCGCCAGGCACCCACGCGACACAGCTGATCTGCATCACCAGCACCATCATCAGGCGACGATCGGCCATCCGGCCAATGACACAACCATCACGGATGATGAGTGGTGCCCAGACACGCCGCCGCCTTCGCAAAAGGCTGGTTCTAACCAGGCGCTGGTTGTTCTGGTTATAAGCAGCATAACAGCTGGTTCGGCGCTTCGGCGCGTCTTACGTGTCGCACACTCGTGCTCCTCCCCGACTACTTTTACACGAACCCGGCGGCCTTGGCAATGGTGCTGGCGCTCTCCTCGCCACCGCATTCTTGACTCCCGCCTCCGCCCGCCCTCATAGCTCCCTCAGCGCTCCATATTGCGAGCGTGGCCAGCTCCGAGTCCACGTGCCCACGCATCGGAAGCAGGCCATCCGCCCGACCATCCGACTGGTCGCTGGCCTGCAGCTGCCCGCCGTCCCGCCGTCCTGCTTCTCGCTTCCCGGTTCACGGTGCCCGCGCGACAGCTACACACTTGCGTCACCCTCCCCGGGCCGTGTGCGTACCGCGCCAACGCCGCTTGCTCACCACAGCTCACCACCCCTTGGCATTGCAAGAGTGCTTCCAGATTCAAACCCGGGCTGCGGTGCCGCCCTCCCGTCCGCACCAACCATTCGCTGGCTGCTGTGCCGGCTCCCGGGCTGGGGAAGCAATCGCCGTAAATCAGAGACGAGTCGGAGAACAGGGAAATGTGGGATCTGTCGAGTACATGTTGACATTAGGCCACATTTGAATAGATGTCAATGTCAGATTAATTCTGCATCTCTGATTGACGGTGTTCGGACCGCGGAAATCAGCGCCGAAGGGTGGTCGCGAACTCGCCTCAAAAGGTCGCGAACTCGCCTCCAAAAGTGGGAGCCACTAAATCGACTGTAATGACACTCCCGTTGTCCTAATTATCCCAGAAATGAGTACTGCTTGTTAGTGACTGTGTTTGGATGCTCACCAATTTTTCCTGGATTTTTACAGGCAAGAGGGAAGAAGTAATTTGCAAGGTTGTGAAAAGCAGGCAAGAAGTTCAAAAACATGTATGGCCCGACACTTTTCACTTGCTACAATTTATGTCCCACCAATAAATTTCATTGCTTTTGGGTTCTATGGACAGGAACACCTGACTATAGTCTCCCAACATAAATTTGGACTATGGCAAGCCAGAATGAAGGAAAGAGAAGTATTTTGATGAGCCATCAGGAGAACATACTATGCTTTCCTTGCAGCCTCTTGACTGGTATTTGGGATCAAATTTGAGTTTGAGATAGAGTACTATGCAGTACCCCTCCACTTTATGTCATTCCTAAGGTATCAAGAGGCATCCTCCCAGTGTATACAAGGGGAGAATAAACAGAATATTGTACAGGCCACTGGAAGGTCTGGTCTGCTATGGGCCAAGCAAACCGTACAATCCATTTTCAAATACCTTCATATGCATATTACTTCCTCACAGTGGTGGTAAGCCCCCCACATACAGGTAGAAACACGCTTGGAATACAGATCATGTGACTGTGTTATCCTGCATCAATACACACTCAATGCTGAGTCCCACCTGTTCCTGAGTGCCTTTCTAGCACTATATGTCATCTTGCATGCTCCTGTTACTCTTACCCTACACTGGTATTCATTTAGCTGAGAATTGAGTGGTAAAACCTGCATATTGCATCATCTTTACCTATTGTGCTTGTACTTGCAACATGTGTGTCTAAAATATATCTGCTAAGCCTAATCTACAAAGGAACCTAGTAGATAATACTAATACTTTCATAGTATATATGCATTGCAGCAGCAGGGCAGGCGCAACAAGCAGCGCTTATGTCATATTGATGCGCCATCAATGGTGGCTGGGGGACAACGGGCGCGGTGGCGCTTGGCAGATGTGTGATGGGTGGGAAGTATGGCGGGTGAGCAACGGGTGAGCAACGGCTCCTCCGATGATCAACGCATGTGATCATGATGGATCAGCGGTAATGCCGACGAAGGCCGAGGGTCGGACAGCACGGGCATTTGTGCTGGACAGAACCACGGCCTGGTTGTATCCAGGTCCTGTGAAAACGTTACCCCCTGGTTATATCCGGGGACATTTTTCAAATATTTACAGCTACGGCTCCCCACGTAGGGCCCATACGCACCTCCAACTCCAGCGAATCTTGCGCGAGAGGACGCCGTCGTTGTTTCACAACCCCCATCTTCTCCCGGTGAGTGCATTCAGGCTGTTTCTGGATATCAATGCTGAGCGGAGGTATTTCCAGCGATAGAGCACTCACCTACGCTCATACCCCCCACGACGCGATCGCGTGGCCTTGGCGGCCATCGCAGAGCCCGAGTTTGCCCGGTTTGGGCAAAAACTCGCAGTTTGGGCCGGAATCGCTCTCGGCCTGCGCCGGACACGTCAGGACAGTCTCATGGGACGTGTTCAGGCGCGTTCGGCGCGTCCCGGCGCTCCCCGTCGTGCTGCAAGTGGAGTCGCCGGCGGAGTTCCGGAGGAAAATGTTGTGCTGAGGTAAGGTCGTGAAAAGTCTTGCGAGAAATAAATGTTGCGGAAAACATATACTTTTGAAAATATCTCGCGGATTTTGGGAACAGCTGTGATCCGCAACTTTTTGTCAAGTTTAGAAAATAAAGTTGCGGAAAATGGTTTTTTCTTCAAAATGTTGCGGAAAACTCAATTTTTTACAAAGTGTATGTAAAATTAATACTTCCCCACTTTGACCGCCATACAAAAATTGTTTCATGTCGAGACATTGTCACCATAACCTTCGCCGTCAATGGTCTTGCGACGCTACATGGCGCTCTTTGTGGCGCTCTTTGTGGCGCTATTTAGGGCGATTTGGGAATTCGGCTGGTATAAGTTGGCTGGTATGATGGATGGACGAGATTCTGTGGATTGTCCATGAAGCGGGTGGTGGGAAGTTACTTGGTGGATATTCGGCGCATAGCGATGTTGGAGAGGCATTTTTTGCAGTGCGAGGTGTGTTCGTGTCGCGTTTTCCTCGTTTTTCTTATGCTCATTTCTGGTCCTCACTGCTCAGACGTAAGGACCGATTGTGGCGTTGTCTTACTTCTTTCGGCCACAAACTACACAGGAGCGGCCACACAAACGGGCTCTGTTTTCATCGCGCACACCCCCCAACAATATGCACTTCGATCGTCTTGTTGCGGTTACTATCGTTAACGCCACCCTGCACGTCCGTCTTCTTCCTTCGGAAGATTTTTGCCTTCTGCTAACAACTTCCCCGACACCCATTCAACTCCCTTCATTGCCAGTGTCTCCCGCCGTTGTAGAAGGATTCTGCAGCTGCATTTCTGCAATGACTTTGCCCGTCCTCCTCTCCCATCACGCCAATTTTACGAAGCCTGCCTAAGGCTGTTAAGGGTCTCGGGTGCTCGGCGGCTGAAGATCAGCACATATCCCATCTCGCTCATCTCGCTTCCGCGGCCCGCCTGATAGCGACGCCGTATTTGGGGACAATTTGTCCGTTTTCTACACATATGTCCATTCCTCTCGTGTCGGTTCTTCTCCATCCCCCAAACCACTTCCCCGTCTTTACTTAACATCATATCACCACCACCGACGGTCCTTCTAGACCTTGATACCGATGTGCCCTTCGTCCTCGCCTCGGCCAAACTCGTTTTCGCAGTGCAAACATGGATCCCTTGGTATTTCGGGTGGGGACGGATTCAGTCAGAACGTCTCCCGCAATCCCCGTCCATTACTTGATGCATTTCGCCACCTGCTCCCTTCGCCCGCCTTCTGATGCCTAGCACAGCCATTTGCATTGCATTCTCTTCTATATCTTCATTATATCGTAGTTCGTACAGGATGCCTTTCCTCTTCCAAGGAGTCAAAGTATCATCACTCATGTGATGGGTTTCGGCCGAACGTCTAAGGCTTTTTGACTTTAGACTACCACCGATTTCTGAACGTACGAGACGCACGCGGTTGATGGTGCTACTCGTTTCTGGCCTTCTCGAGAGCTACCCATCCAAGAGCGAGCTCGGGTCCTGCGCTAGCGTCAGCACGAAAGATAGATCGTGTCGCGGTCCCCCGATGCCCATTTCCATCGGCCGCAGTACACGCGTGCGGAAAATCCGCTCGGCCTCACACATGGATTCCGCACCCGGCGTAGACTCGCCGCCGGCGCTGTGTGTGCCCGAAGCGTAGTGGCCAGGCCCAAGGCGGCCCGTGCTCGGCAGGAACACGTGCTCATCGCAGAAGACGTTCAAGCGCACAGTGCGCAGGCGCGGGCACGCCTTGGCGAGCTGAGCGCCGTGCACGCTCGACAGGGAAGCCTCGCCATCGGGCAGCGCATAGCCGGTGCATGCGTACTGGGTGGCGGAGGTCGGGCCGGGGAGGTCAATTGTGTACGTTTCGAGGGTCGGAGCGATGCTCATTCGGCGGAGGTGGGCCGGCATCCGCGCGATGAGGTGATCTGACCAGAAGAGCGCAGTCTCGAGTGACGCCGGGCCCTCGACGCGGAAGTCGCGCAGAGCGGAGTTGGCAGGGAGGGTGATCCGGTCAAGCTGATCTGCAAAAGGGTTAGCTGTACACAAAGGAGAGATAAGCCGTACCGAACCTAGCAAGCCGAAGATGGAGCCCCGTGACGTGTGGGCCGAGCCGCCGCATGTACCCCGCAAAAGCATCAACATTATCCACGTGCAGCGTCGCCAGCACGCGCGTCGCCCGCGGCCAGTAATTCCCCGTCTTGAGCCACTGGAGAAAGGAAGCATGTGTGCCGAAGCCCGCGCTTCCCTCCCAGATGTCGAATTCAAACCTGTCGAGCGGGATCGCGATGGCGGCGGCGCGGACGTGCGGCACTCTCGGCCCGGAGAAGCTCAGCCGCGTCATCGTGAGCGCGCGTAGCCGGGGGAGGCCGGC